GTTCCGACCCATAGCGACCCTGTACAGGGTTTCCAAGGGTGTAAATCTTTACGGGAGTAGAAAGCCTCATCTTTCTCCCGCGGAGCGGCTGGTAGTTTCTAACTGCTGACCTTAAGGTTCGCAGCCCGATTCGTAACCACTACGCTACCAGAGCTCCTCATCCAGAATCTTTAGAGGTAGTTAATTTCCACTTGAAAGGATGGGCAGACCCCCCTGGAGCAGCTAGAACAGAAGAAACTTCTTGAAAGAAAGACCGACTGACAAAAACAAGCAAGTTGCTCGCCCAGGAGACATCAAGGCTAGTGGTCGGGTCCCCTCAGAGCAAACCCCCTTCCAAGACTAAGACTCAATGGGAATACACACTCTGATTGGTGACCATGTTCGTCACTGATAAGGGGAAGTGAGGGAAAAATAGCAATGAAGCTGGGAGCTAAGCCCTACAATGTGCAATAGATTCCCGTGAACCCAGGTAGAGACCTGGTTGGCCAGCAGCATGATGAGACTTGGAGGACTCTTGGGCCCAGAATCAGTGACATAGCCACCGAGGACTAGAGTGGAGAGTGAAGCGTCCAGCTGATAAGAAGAGAGGGCATATACAAGCTTTTAAGAGGGAACCTAGATCCAAAGGGCATGGAGGAAGGTAGAATCTCCACTGAGTAGTATTCAATCTGTCTAGGTGGAGCTGATGAAAGGAGATGCGGATAGGTGTCTTGTGATATAATAGTGAATAATTGTTAGCAGGACTGATTGTGAGGGTTGGAAATGTAAAGGTAGACATTTTGTAGTAAGGAGGGGAGTGATTAACTTTGCAGTCTAGGAGCAGAATTCCCTAGGACCATCAAGGGAGTAGAGCAGAAAACGGGACCCTACCCAGAGAAGGAGTGATGCCAGATATGGAAGTAGAGACGATGACGTGGAGAGATGGAGCATCTGGGGACTTTAGACCAGGGGACAGGCTTGTAGGGTATACCCTTTGGTTGCATGGAGGGGATTGTAACCATGTCAATGAAACGATATACAGTAGGATGAAAGTAAAACTAATGTTCTCCCATGTAAACTATCACATAATTCACAATAAAACATTTAAAAAAGGAAAACCCATAGGGATTTAATATACTAAATATACTAAAATGTTAACTACATTTATCTTTAGTTTTTCGCCATTTTTGATGACTTAATTCTTTAGGAATCAGGAAAATTTATTCATTCAATAGGCATTTAATTTACTTGTTGGTAAGTGCCGTCGAGTTGGTTCTGACTCATAGCAACCCTGTATAGGGTTTCTGAGAATTAGCTGGTGGGTTTGAACCACTGACCTTGCAATAGCAACCAATGCTTATCTTATAGTACCACACCAGGACTCCATTTCAATTACACCTCTTCATTAAAGATGCTAAATGTTGATGTTGTATTCCGTTGAGTTACTTCTGACTTGAAGTGACCCTGCAGAGATTTCTGAGAGTGGCTAGTGGATTGAACTGCTGACCTTGTGATTCATAGTCCAGTGCTTATCCTACATCGTCACACCAGGGCTGTTTGTTGTTGTTGTTAAGTATCATTGAGTGGGTTCTGATTCATAGTGACCCTGTATTGGGTTTCTGAGGAGTGGCTGGTAAGTTTGATCTGCTGACCTTGATAAATACTACTGAAAAAACCTGTAAGGTATTTGAGGTGATTTTGTATATTTTTTTTTCCATCTACTAGTTGGATATGAACCTGAATGAGGAGAAGCAGCAACCTTTGAGGGAGAAGGACATTGTCATCAAGAGGGAGATGGTGTCCCAATACTTGCACACTTCCAAGGCCGTGAGTGTTGGGCCAGCAACCATAGCATGGGAAACTGTGCCCTTATCTTACTTAGACTTTTGGACCTGTTGGTTTGGGGACTGTTTTATCGCAATTTATGTGTACATCATGTGATTTCATTTTACTGTATAAGCCTATTCAATTTTCACCCTCTAATTTGAGTTACCATTCCTGTGTACTTTTGGACTGATTAACCTTCATGAAGTATGTGTAAGGAATGGAATGAGAAATTCTCAGTCTCATGTAGTTTAGTGGTAATGAAGGATGTCTGCCCTAATATTTAATTTTTAGTGATGTGACATTAGTTCTTGATTCATGGCTGAGTACAGTTTTTACTAGTTCTCTGTATGTCTTCTGTCTAGGGCATGAGCCAAAAGGAAAGCTCTAAGTCTGCCATGATGTACATTCAGGAGTTGAGGTCAGGCTTGCGGGACATGTCTCTGCTCAGCTGCCTTGAGTCCCTTCGTGTCTCTCTCAACAACAATCCTGTCAGGTAAGGATTCTGAAGAACCAACAGGAGGTGGAGTCCATTATTGGAGTTTACTGGTGGGGAATATGAAGGTCAAAGGAGTCAGGGGAGCATGAGAATGTTCTGGGTTTCTATTAGCATTCCCAGGGTAAACTTTGGTATTTGTGTATTTGATTTAATATTGCTTTGTCTTTGTATATTCATTATAGTTGGGTGCAAACATTTGGAGCTGAGGGTCTGGCTTCCTTGTTGGATATCCTTAAACGACTTCATGATGAGAAAGAAGAGAATGCTGGGTGAGAACTTCCATGTCTTGGCTCCTTTTGTGGAGAATAGTAGGAGATTACTATTTTTTCTAAAGGAGAAAACAGCAGTTAAATGTATATTTACTAGATATATATGTTGTTAGATGAGAATAGGGTTTATAATTAGGGTGACCAGAGGATGAATGATGAATGTAGATCTGTAAGAAAAGGAGGAGGGACTTAAGTTGCAAGGAGAATACCATGACATATAAATGTTGTTGTTAAGTGCCGTCTTCTACTCATAGTAACTCAGTATGAGCATCTGGTGGGTTTAAACTGCTGACCTTGTAGTTTACAGTCCAGTGCTTATCCTATATACAATATATTGTTGTTGTTGTTATGTGCCATGGAGTTGGTTCCAAGTCATAGTGACCCTGTACAGGGTTTCCAAGGCTGTACATCTTTACAGGAGCAGGAAGCCTCATCTTTCTTCTGTGGAACAGCTGGTAGTTTCAAACTGCTGACCCTGAGGTTAGCAGCCCAATTCATAACCACTATGCTATACACAGCATAAAACTACTAGTCTCTAAACTTTCACTGAAAACCACAATAAAATAGTATTTAAAAAAAAAAAGATTAGCTTATAGTAGTTCTTCTATTTTTCTCCCTCTCTTTAAGCATCGTTTACTTTGGTTTTCTTTGAGTCATTTGCTTTTTTCAGGAATCAGAATAGTCGCTCTCTCTCCATATACATATATATAAAATAACTACTCAGAGTAAACATTGTTTAAATTTTAAAAAAGTTTTTTAAAAAGGTAATTTGTTCCCAGTAAGGTTCTTATCTGGAAATAAGATCTGATTTAGTCCAGAGCTGCTTTGTAATCTGGTCTGGGTCATTTCTCGTTTGGAGGTGTTATAATCCACTTTATCTATTTCTTTTTTTTACACTTTCAAAGCTTTTATTTATATAAAAAATTCATTTATTTTAAAAAGCATTTTAACAAGAGAGAAAGGAAAAGTCTGAAGCAGAAGACCTGCTCCTTAGTAATATTTGGTGGGAAGGTGGGATTTTTGGTTCTCTGGAATTGAATATTTAGTGTTTTTATAAACAAAATATAGCAGGGAAAAATAAAGGTTCCCCCAAAGTCCATGGCTGTTCTATTACCTACACTGCACAGAGAAAAAGAGCACCAAGGAAAAGAGCAGAAGAGTCCCAAAAGTATGCCAGATTGGGATGGGGCGATTCCCCTGTGCTGTGTGCTTTTAGGGTTACAAAGAGCAAACGGCTCCTTTTTGCCAACAATAGTGGATGAGAGTGGGAAGATCAAGGGTGATAGGCAAATAAGGAGTTCTAATGCTTGGGGGAAGGGAAGGGAGCATGCCCATTTCTCCTACCCCATATCCTCAATATATAAGGGAAGAGGGGAGAGGAGAAGGATAACTATTTCCAGTTGATTGAACTTACAGATGAAGGAGAAGGCAAATAAGAAAAAAGGTCTTTTTTTTTTTTAAAACAGCAACTCACATAACAGCTGATTCCTCTAACCCAGCCTGCTAGTAATACACTACACTGTGGTATGTTGGGGTAATAGAGTGGAAGGGAGACAACTTGCCTATAAACCTTTCAGAGATGATGGTAAATTCTGGACAAGTGAGGAGTATGAGTCCCACCACTGACTCCTCCCACCAATTGCATTTTAAGATTCATTAGAATGGGATTATTACTGCAAAAGCCCAACCATATGCTGTTGAGCAAAAACTTGAAATTAGAGGCTATACCAACCCCCCAATAAAGGGGGGTTCTCTATGTCACCTCTCTTCTTTCTGCCAATAATCGGTAGAAGAGCTAGCAAAATATAATTTGTAAAATCATGAGATTGCAGAGGCATATGGAAGGGAGGGAGATGATGCACCCCAGGCCAAAGGCACAACGAAGAGTCAAAGCCAGGGCCAACCCCCACCTTACAAGGGTAAAGGGAACAGAAGTCATGTAAATCAGGTCCTTTAGTTGGCCAACCCCAGGGAAGATGTAGGGGAGGAAACAAGACTCTAAGGATTGGGGAAGAGGGAAGCCAGTTTTGCACCTTCCTGCCAGTTTCAGACTAACTGCTTCCTGTACATGCCAGCTAGCTCCTCCTAGATGTTCCTAATCGCCTCATTTTTCTTCCCCTTCTCACTCAAAATTTCTTCCTTGGCACATTGTCCTTTTTCAACAGCCTCTTGCAAATAGCCTGGCCAGGACAGCAGACATCACAGGATGGGAGAGGAGGCCTACTGACAGCATGAGTAAGGGGCAGTGGCATTAAACCAGGGTTAGCATGATCCTTGAAGAAGACTTGACATCTGTAGATCCTTTATGGTCCCTGCCTCAGAGATAAGGAGAGCAAGGTTTCTTGATCCCAGTTCTCAGACTTTCATTCAAGGGCCTTTGCCAGGTGGAATGGAATGTGCCAATGGTGCAGGCCTTCTTTGCTTCAAAAATATCCATTAGGAATAAAGGAAGCGCTCACACTCCCCTTCTTCAAAAACAGAAAACCCTCTTCCCCATCAAGAAAAAAAGAAGAGTCACCAGTTTATCAGACTGCTAGACACTGCATATATAGCATGTAACTTGTGATTCTTCTCATGGATTCTAATGAGGATGTCTACTCCTCCCCTTCCCCCATTTGATATATTTCTTGATCTAGATCTAGCTTTATAGCAGTCTTCAGTACAGTGATTCTGAGTATATCTTGGACTATCTTAGGCTACCTTGAAGCCAGTGTGAACCAAAGTGATTTCTCTACTTTTGAGGGATTTTTTTAGAAACAGTTCAGGGCCTGGACCTCCTGCATTTAACTTCTCAAATTTGAAGCCTTTATTGTAGCAAGGCAAGCAATAATGGTTGGGATGTTATTCTGATAAAATTTAGCCTAGAGCGAGTTAAAGGGATGACTTTAATGTACTATAAAACCTTAGATTGAGGGAGAATTAGCCAAAGGCCTTTGATGGTAGTAACAGCTCTTCAGCGATCTGCTTCTTGCTAGTATTTCAGAGCAAAGTATTATGTGCCAGAATTTACTCAGCTACTAATTGGGATGTTTTTACTATCCTTGTTTCCAAGATGGAAAAGTCATGTGGGAAAGGGATGTAGAATTCAAGGATTTCCCTGACTATGTCTTCTATCTGCAGGAGCTATGATAGCCGTAACAAGCATGAAGTCATCCGCTGTCTGAAAGCGTTTATGAACAACAAGGTCAGTGTTTTACCATTCTCATTTCAGTTCCATTCTTTCTCTTCTGGTGACAGTCCAGCAAAAGGAACTAGGAACATGAGGTTCAAGACTTCTAGCTGTCCTGTGTAGTGTCATTAAATGTTTTTCATTGCCACTGATACATGCTTCTTTTGACTTTTTTTCTCCCCACATTGCTAACTTCTGCTTCAGAATGTAGACTCAGTTTTCTTACTCTTTCCATACTTTTTGTTATGAAATCTTTAATTTCTTCACTTACAGTTATTGTTTTGGGAAGCATTACTTTAGTTCCTGCTTGTTTTTCTTTATTTTCGTTTTTCTTCCAAACTGATGGACCTTTTCATATTTTCTTGTCTGTTTAATATGTCAAAGCTCTTCCTCAAAGAGCACACAATTATTTGCCCATGAGTACAAATCCTGCCTTTCACTATAGATTCCATTGTATTTGTTTTTTGTTTATTTTGTTTGACATTAAGAAGAAACATCTATTCTTGGAAGACATAGAAGTATATTGTGTCTACTAGGAAATTATTTTGCTATATTCATTTATCTTTAGCTATATTAGGGAAAGTGTTCTACCTTTCAATTTGTCTCTGGTTAGTCATGGTCATCTTTAAAGTCTCCCTTCTCTATTCTTGTCCTATCAGTTTGGAATTAAGACGATGTTGGAGACAGAAGAGGGAATCCTACTGCTGGTCCGAGCCATGGATCCTGCTGTCCCCAACATGATGATTGATGCGGCTAAGCTGCTCTCTGCTCTTTGTATCCTACCACAGCCAGAGGACATGTATGTGATGGAAATTATTTCTCTCTTCATTTCTTTATCATCTTCTCTAGTCTAGAGGAAAATTGAGTAGGAGGAGTAGCTTGGGTGTCCTCTTTTTCTTAAGTACTAGGTAATACTCTATTTTTTTCCATAAGTGAACACTATCAATCTTAATATTTAAATAAGATTCTTAAGTGATAGGGAACTGTTCTGAATGGTTAACAGTGGCAAGGTATCTCCTGTTGTTGCTGTTAAATAAAGTTGAATTGGTTTCAACTAGTGACTCTGTATAGGGTTTCTGAGCAGCAACTGATTGGTTTGAGCTGCTGACTTGGTAGTTAGCAGTCCACTGTTCATCATACGGCACAATTGTTTACTTTTACTGTTGGCTTTTTTCCTCCATAACTTGGAGGGAATACAACAGTACTTTTTAAAATCCAAATAGTATATAAAGTGAAGTCTAGAGATCATCTTTAACTTTCAGTAGATTCTGTCCCCTGCTCTAGGTCATGAGAGGACTAATGTGAGAGAGTTAGAGCATTTATAACAGTCTGTTTCCTAAGTGGTCTGTGCCCTATTCATTATCTTCCTATTTTACATGTCCGTCAGTGCACCTGGGCATTTCTCTTCTCTTCCTTTCTCTTGGACAGGAATGAAAGAGTTTTGGAGGCAATGACAGAAAGAGCTGAGATGGATGAGGTGGAACGTTTCCAACCGCTGCTGGATGGATTAAAAAGTGGGACCTCCATTGCACTCAAGGCATGTATATATCTTCTGGAACTGGCCCCAATAGTAGAATTAAAGATGAAAACACTGAAATTTATTTAACCTTTTTATAGAACACATGGAGTGGTTCCTAACTATATAGTTTACATTTCAAAATTTGTTCTGAAGGAAAAATGACCAACCTTTTCTCTAATAAGTCAGAGAAAACTCTTTTTCTCATTTTAAGAATGAAAAAGGCACAGTATCTTTTTACAAGCTAGGGAAGCCAGTATACCTTGGAATTCTTGGAGTCGTTTAGACTTCTTAACTCTCTAGACTTATGCTCAACCTAGACATCATTACTCTCATAGAAAGTCATTCTTATGACTTCTGCATCTCATCCTGCTAGGTGGCCTCAGAATGCATGTAAAGAGAATGGAATAGTCATCTATCAGAGTTAGCATCGACTTAATTGTTGTATTTCCTTATTTAAGGTGGGATGCCTACAGCTGATAAATGCCCTCATCACACCAGCTGAAGAGCTTGATTTCCGGGTTCACATCCGAAGTGAACTGATGCGCTTGGGACTGCACCAACTGTTGCAGGTAAGATGCAACGCTTCATCATTATAAAAGCTGAGCTGCTTCCTTCCTACTCTTAGAGCCCCAGACATCTCTGGGGTAACTCAGGTTTTCAATTTAAAAACTAGGTTGCAAGGTTTGGGCTTCTAGCCATGTAGGACACTTCTGGGTCTCCTGACTTTTCTACTTTTTGTTATTAACAGGGCCTTCGAGAAGTTGAAAATGATGATATGAGAGTGCAGTTAATGGTGTTTGATGAACACGGAGAAGAAGATTCCTATGATTTGAAGGGACGGTTGGATGATATTCGCATGGAGATGGAATATCCTTTTACTGACTGGGTTCAAGACAAATGAGACATTTGTTGTATTCATGTGCAGCGCCCTGTAAGAATGATGTATGTCTAGTGGTGAGGTAGGTGATGACTCTGAACAGGGCATTGGGTTAGGTGTCTTTTCAGTAGGTACAGCAAATGCCTTCTTATTGCTGTTGGCCCTGTTTACCTTGGCACAGATCAGAGAAACCAGTAGAGATGATCTAAAGGTTACTCAACATGGAAACAGCCATCAAAGTTAGAATAGACTTCTAGAACCTGATATCTTACCTTATTTAGATGTAGAACTGATTTTTGGAGAATATATACAAGTAGGGAATGGAGTTGTAATTTGCTTTCTTGCATGTGTTCCTGAAACTGAAAGAGGGTGTAATGTGGTCAACTATTGGGATTTGCCACAAATGACTTTGACGCAATTATATTTTAGTTTCTATACTGCTTGATCTTCAAACCAAGGATTAGGAATCCTGTATCTCTTTACCACCCAATTAACTGGTCCCTTGACCAAAGTAAGTTTATAGAACCTAAAAGTTTCTGGTGATGTTTATAGGAGGGACAGCTATTAGAGTGGAAGTGGCATCTTGCTTTCTCTAGCCACTTACCAAAATAGGTTCTCAATGTATGCTTTCCTTAGCTCCTTGCCCTTTTGCACTGACTTCAGTGAGGTGTTCCAGATTCTCTTAAACACTGTGAAGGATTCAAAGGCAGAGCCCCACTTCCTGTCCATCTTGCAGCACCTACTTTTGGTCCGAAATGACTATGAGGCCAGGTAAGATGGAATGCTTGCAGGTTTTGCAATTGAACCTAAAAGGTGAGACCACAATTCTTTAAGGATTGTTCTGTAAAAGGAAAAGAAAAGATAAAGACTGAAAATTAGGTTTCATGTATAGTCATAGGTATAAAGGGAGTAGCCAGGTTCAGATGTTCTTTTATTTCCCTTTGGAAAAGGTCAGAGAGTATATAATAAGATGCCCTTCCCTTTTTTGAAGAGGATGACAAAGAAAAGTGGCAATTTAGAATTCCTTCTGTTACTAGAAGTAGAGATGCAGTTATAGAACTGTCCATCACAGAAAGAATTAAACACAAGGTTTTACATGGGAAAAGATGGGCACTAAGTGGCAGATCTTAACGGCCACCACTCGTCTGTCTGTCGTGCTGTGGTGGATTGAGTTGCTGTGATTCTGAGGGCTATACCACCGGTGTTTTGGATAACCAGCAGGGT